TAAGAGAGAAAAATAAGAGTTAGGATAGAGAAATAATATTAAATTATGTTGATTCGTTCTGTTTAAAAGAGCCTCTACATTTAGACGGTCCTCTAACAATATCTTTTTTTTTTTTTTTCGTCGCACCAACTCGACGTAGTTCTAGACATGTTGCATTAGAGAGAAATTTTTGGAGCATTATCTATTTTAACTTATGTGACAATTTTTTAGTCTAATCACATTAATTAGCATTGGAAATACTCTAATTATTAAATTTGTGGCTTCATATTAAAATATCAATTTTATTAAGATGAGTAACACTAGACCTTATATCTTGATTAATACTTTCTAATTAATATATCGCTACAAGGCTCGTTCAAAAACATCGATCTTAAATTAGTTTTGTTTGAGTTTTAATTGGACCGAATTGTTCGTTTGAAGTTGTTAGGCTCATATTCTAAGACTTTAATTCCATCTTAAAATGTCAAATTTTCAAAAGAAGTAATTCAAATTCTTAATTTTTGATTAGTATATTTATCCTTAACATATATTCGCAAGGCTCGTTTAAGAACATTAATCTTGAAATTTGATAGCTCGTTTGAATTTTAAACAGATCGCATTATTTATATATATCTGGTGAACTCTAATTCCATATTAAAACTTAAAATCTATCATAGTATTTTTACCCTTAACACCGGTAGCTTTGGCAACCACATTTTGAGATAATTTTACACGTTTTCTGGGATTTGATTTCACGAGTCTGTTCCATGCCGGCTGAACTACGCCACCAATCCACCATAACTTCGACATAAATGAGTACCGACAAGTAATAAATAGATAAGAAAATACGAAGTCATAAATTATGACAAGAACTGGGATCGAAACACGGGTTTTTAACTTTACGTAATTTTTCATCTTCTGACGAAGTACGTTTACAATTTTAATCTTTAGAACTTGTTTAGGAGTGATTTTTTCACTCAAAAAATTGATTTTTTGACCGTAGTTTTACTATTCCAGTTGTCATATTTGACTTCTTCTCTCACATGTGGACCCTACTTTTTTACTAACGATCAAAAAATCAATTCTGAAAATTACTTCCAAACAGGCTCTAATAAAATATTCCACCTAAGTTTTTCAGAAAAAATCCTAAGTCGTAAATGATAGTAAAATAAATAATTTAAATAGAATTCCGAAAATAGTTATATTTCAGATGATTGAGCGTAGGAGTTGAAATGGCGATTGAGCCGCCCACTTCCCTCATCTCAAACCTACCATATCGGTGATTATAGTACTACCAATTAACTTCTATATAAATGTTCATTTCCCTCAACAGTTAACTAATTAGTTGAGTACTTTTTCATTTCTTTTGACTAAGTCTTGAATTACATATATGTCCATAGTGAAAATTTTTATATACGAGTTATTTCTTAAACTTAAATAAGCGCAATATTTACTTATAATTAAAATTTTAAACTATAAGTAAATTTAAAATTGTAGGTTAAATTTTTACACTTGAATTAAATTTTTATTTGTAAGTACCTTTTTATATTTTATAAAGTGGGTTTTTGTCTTATTAGTAGTATTTTTACTTTATAAACATTTTTTTACGCAAAAGTGAATTTTTGTATTATCATTATTTTTTTTATTTATAAGTAATATTTTAATTTGATGTATTTTTATTTACTAGTTTTGAACAAAAAATATGGATTGGAAAAGGTCAAAACTCACCAATTTAATAGGATGTAAAATACTATCAAAATTACACAATACAAATTTTAGGTTATTTTTAAACAATCCAGTATTGGTGCTCAAAAAACTATCAAGCAGCGTATTTTCCAATCTCTCATAAATGGTGCCACTATAAAACAATTGAAACCTATTAAAAGAAAAATGTTCCAAGTAAGTCCTTAAGTGATTATTTAGGATCCATGTTTAAGGAAATGTTGTTTCATTTAACAACAGGACATTGTATTACTCTTCCACAATCCTGTTTCACATTTAGCCAACTTTCATTTCGCTCGTTGTTACTATGAGAGTCGCTTTTACTTTCAATTCATCAAGTTGTCCCTTGCTTGCCCATGAATTCAACAATCTTTCAACATGTAACTGTTTGAGAACGTTGAGCAATTGTTTAATCGCATCGAGCCAAGTAGGATCCCTTTCAATCTAATTGAACTATCAACATGGAGAGAGAGAAAAACAAAAAAAATAAAAACTTGAAACTCTTTCTCTGGATACAAGGGATATAAAAGAAAGCCTGCTCGATTTGAACAGAAGACATGTGAACATGCAAAAGAAAAGGACGAAGGGTGCTTGAGGGAATGAAACATCATGGGACGTGTCAGATGGCGCTCGTGATGTGGGCCCCCTTACCGATGGATAATTTTCAGCTTTCCACGTGGGACAGAAAGGATGCTGTTCCTTGAAAAATTATTGAACAAGGTAAGCTCCTCTGAGCCATTATTAACTTGCCACGTTTATCACGTGCTCCATACCCTACCCCAAATCCAGCCTCGTTGCAAGATCACGTGCCGCTAAAACCATATGCATGTGGTGCCTGCTACTTCTTTTGCAAACGAAGTATGGTTGGCTAGGTCTTTTCACCCTAGACTTGGAGCGGTTTGGATTAAATTTTGATTTTAATTTAATTCAAAATCAAATAATCAATATTAATCACATCTTACATGGATCCCACAACTTATCAACTACGCATTTCAAAAACTTTCATCACAATCTACTAAAAAAATCTAATTTTAATCCTTACCAAACACTCTTTTGATTATGTAGAAGTAGAAATGCATTTGATTATGTTCATACAGAGAGCATGACGATCTAGGGTATTTTTCCATGGGATTAGATACAATATTTGTATGATTTAAATTGAGTAATAATTTCGAATTTGATGACAAATTAACTAACCTCACATTAGCATAATGATTAGAGGTAAGATTATGCCTCTGTTTGGTTTGAATAAAAATTATATTTTGAATATATTTTTGATAAAAATTGATGAAATATATAATTATAGAGTTGATAAAAGTTGCGAATTTCGTTAAATATGTGATTGAAAATAAATTTGAGAGAAGAAGAGTTATAAGAAATGGGAGTCAAACATAAGTTATATATAATTTTTTTATAATCACACGACTAAGCGCTTTAGCTTGAGGTTGAACCTTTTTTCCGGTTCAAAACTTGTAATATTTTTTCTTTCAATGAGAAAAAATTTAAGAAATTAAATCTTCATTTATAATACCATATAATCTCACTTAGGGTTATAGGTGTGAATATCTCGTTATTATGGCCCTCTTGGAAGAGTTTATTCCCATATTTCTATTAGGAGAGTTGATTAAGAAAAGTCTCATTTAAAATAAAGTCAACTTAAAGTAAACCAACTAAGTCTTCCTTTAGAATTAGTACCCAATGAGTAGATTGTCAACGGGTAAGGACTCCTAAATTTGCGCCATAAATTGCTAAATGGAGGTATTTCATAACGATTTACATTATTTAAAAAAAAAAAAGTCATAAATTATGAGGCTTGTATCAAACTTTTACTTCGGCTTTCATAGTTAAATAAGGCTAACCAAAAATATATTATGAACGTACAATTCATTAATCTGTTACGTATTGTCCCTCGGTTTCTGCATCCTATCTCAATTAAACATATCAAATACTTTTTAAGACCTATAATTAGCATCTACCTACCATCCCACAATGGTATGACTTTTGAAATTCAAGAAATGTGACAAGTTATAGTGATAAGGTAACATTGTCAAGGTTAGACACGAGGAAAAAATTAATATTTTGCCAAGATTATGTCATATTGTTTTCATTTACACAGTAAATACCAATTGATTTAAGTATCAGAGTGCTTTCGATAACCACATTTTCATCTTTTTTGACATTGAGCACTACGATGCAATCCAATCTAATGATATGTTATAGAATAATTCTGCGAGTTCAGGAAAAAATATAAAAAAGAATCTGTACAGGTGTTGCTATGGCTACTTTTCTTTTGTATTTTTATTATTTTCCAATGATAATCTGTCAAGTGTTGATCTGTATGATTTCTATAAAAGAATTCCTTTACTTATAGCATTCTTCTACGTTATAACTTGAACAGGATCTAATTACGTACTACTCAAATATTGTAAATTTTCAGAATGTTTTTTAAAGCATTGAAACATGTAACCTGTTCTGATTGGACAAATCTATTGTTAAGGTTGCAAATATTCTAATCCACACTTGTCAAGAACTGATAATCAATATATTTTAAACACTTGATTCCCTGCCATGCAGTTTTTTTTTTTTTTTTATTCAAAAAACCATTCTACAAAGGGCATTTATGTCAATTAGGTCACTGAATTCTGTTTTGTCTCAATTTATTAGTTTCTAGTTTTATCAATCCATCAAAAATAAATAAATAAATTCACATAATCATTGCATTACATGCCAACTCAATATTACACAATGTCAATGAAATTAATTTAAAATAATTCAAGGACTTCATCATGACCCTCATTTTATATTATCTGTTTCCAGAGTGATAGACGATGTTGAATATCTCGTTATGGTATGTTTGCTAAGTGAGTATTTTTTTTTTCAGGGATGAAATGTGAAATGTGACATATTGTGACAGATGGTGAAATTCAAAACTAAATTAAATTTCAATCGCTCAACTAAAATAAGTTAAAATTTCACTAAAAAGATCAATGATAATTATTTTGATAATCGATACTTTATTGGGTGAATGCGGTTCGATTTGACCCTTTTTGGGTTCAAATCAAACCTTTTCAAACAATTTTGAATGGAAATGCGGATAATTTCACGTGCATTAAAACCAATGGTTTAATTTGATTTAACTATTTTACAATTTATTTTTTATTTTTTTATTTTTTGGTTCAGCCATATTCTATAGTGCATTTATGAGGGGGAGGGAAGTCCCATGTAGTTGACAGGGACCGTTTGGTAAATTTGGTATTAAAACTGGGACAGTTAGTCAGTCTTCCCACACTTCTGTTGCAAGTGCCTTCCCTGCAAAGTGTGCTCCTCTACAGAGAGAGAATAAAGGAAGGAAAGAACAAGGAACTTCTCTTGCTACGCAACAATTTCTTCCTCATTTTCATTAATAATCTTTTGACACAGCCTGTTTCAAACCGATTATTCAAATTCAGGACATTTGGGCTCTCTGGGGGTCATTGATTTGTTTGATTATCTTCGTTCTGCATATGGGTTTTTGTTCAGAAATTAGAGGTTGAATAAGAGAGGATAAAATTGGTGTCAGTAAAATGTCCATGAAGAGCAGAGGAGGAGAGCAGATTTCAAGGAGTACCATATCTAAAAAATGGACTCTGTTTCTTTGCCTTGCTAGCTTCTGTGCCGGGTTGTTCCTCACAAATCGGTATTGCATTTATTTAGTTACTTGTGTGCGTTTTGATCAGTTTTTCTGGTTTTCGAAATAGACTTTTGTTAGTATGTGGAGACTCTTTTAACGATATATCAATCAACTGTTTTTGCAGTCTTGCAAAGATTCGAATTCTGATTTTTCTCCGGTCTGTTGATGAAATATAGTGAAGCTGCAATTTCTTTGAAGAATTTATGCTATGGCTATAAATAAAAAATAAAAATCTGTTTTAGAAGATCTATCTTATTTCTCTGCTATTTAAATTTATCCAGTTGATGGGGAAGCAGCTGCTCATTTCGATTCAATTTTGTGGTTGAGGACATTGCTTTTATCATTCACAACTTGTTTTTAGTTACTTGTCTTTAAGCTACAGTGTGGCAGTGATTTTCGTTCAAATACTTCATCCACATATTTGAGAAAGGTCCTGCAATTTTTCTTTTTCGTTAATCTCATCTGTCTTTTGTTTATATCTCAATGGCTAGAACTCTTTAAGGAAATACACAAATGTGCCTTATTCGATATTTTTCTCTGTTAGCTGCCAGTGGAAGATGTTTACATGGCTCTAAACTTCCAGTTTTCTTTGCAATAATTTGGACTTTGGAGGAAAAGTAAAAGTTTGTTTTGTATTCTGTACCTAGCTGTGGATTTTCTTGCAATCTGTGTTTGGTTATACAGTTTCTTGTCCTCTTCCCTTCATCTCCAATCTAGAAGGACAGCTTATCTCATAGCTGTTGAGATTGTTATGCTCTTGATTATAGTGGCTCAAACTAATGAGGATAAAATGACAACAGAATGTGGACTGTTCCAGAATCAGAAGGAGTCACAAGAACAACTGCTGCTGAAGCTGAAGCACTAAAATTAGTATCAGAAGGCTGTGATCCGAAATTTGTGAGTATTTTTCTCCTAACCTATCCTTTTGGAGTAATACCTGGGTGCTGAACTTTTAGCATGAAGACAAAACTCTCTTTCTTGTAACTTGGGAATATCTTTTTGACCCCATTAACTTGCAGCAGAAAGATGTGAAGAGTGTACCTAAGGAAATCTTTGGGGAAGTTTCCAAGACTCATAAGGCTATAAAGTGAGTTCATGGTTTTCTTTCTGGTGTATTTCCTATGAAATATATTTCCCTGAAATGCTAATGTGATCATAACATTTGATACAGGACATTGGACAAAACCATTTCCAATTTAGAGATGGAGTTAGCTGCTGCAAAGGCAGCACAGGAGTCAATTCTTGCTGGCTCTCCTGTATCAGAAGCTACTGAGAATGGTGATTCTTTTAGGAAACGGAAGTTTCTTATGGTTATTGGAATTAATACTGCATTTAGCAGCCGAAAAAGAAGAGATTCTGTTCGTTCTACCTGGATGCCACAAGGTATGTAAACTGTTTTCTTCTCTTTGCACCTAGTGCTAGCTCATAAATAATTCTATCGTAATCAAGTTTTTCTTCTGGAACAATATCTGATTTTTCTATACAATAGGAGAAAAACGGCGGAAGTTGGAGGAAGAGAAAGGGATCATTGTTCGCTTCGTCATTGGTCATAGGTGGGCATTGGCACCTTTTTTATTTTTTATTTTTTTGGGAATGGGATTGGCATCTATTTTGATGCTTATGATAATAAGTATAATTTCTTCTCACATACTAGTGTTTTTCCAATGTCAATTGGAATGTACTTTTTCTGATATGAACTTTCCTTCCATGAAATATTGGTCTGATACTCAAGTAGTGATTTACGTGTCTTAAATTCGGCTTGATTTTGGTGTGTAATAATCATATGAGAAGAACATGGAGAGCAATGACTATGGAATGCCTTCCTTCTGTTGATGTCCATTGTCTTCATGATTGTGAATTAAACCAAATGAAATCAATCAACACTTGTACTCCCCATATCCCATGATATTGCTAATTGTTATAATTCACCCTTTTGATGCCTGCATTTCAGAAAGTATATGCCATTTTTCAACTTCTGTCCAAACTTACACTAAAGGACAAAATTAGAAATGGAAAAAAATCAGCACATTTTTCAAATTTTGAATTCTAAATGGGCCAAAAGGTTCCATAAAATGACAATATCAAAGTTAAAACACAACTCAAAAGAAATTGGTTTTTCTATATAGCAATGTTAGGATGCATGTCTTCAAGAATAGAATGAGTGCGCTCTCTAGATGCAAGGGGATGGGGCCGTAAGTCCCGAGCTCATAAAAATTCTGGTCAGAGCGAGGCATCTTGATCTAATTTTTTTAACCAGTCTCCAACTGTCATAAACATATTCTCAGTTGATGTTTGAGGGTAGAATAATATGTAAACAAATGTTTTCTTGAAGTATGTCTGTCTCATTAATGTGAGTTAAAATGTGTTTCCGATCAATAAATCATATCTAGTCTACCGCAAACAACACAATTTCTTTGGTTGGTTTTGGCTTTTTGTGAATCTGGTTGCTGCTTGTCTTTGTGACTATTTTTCGCATTGAATATTGAACGTTTCCTTTGTTGTTGAAAAAAACTTGTCTTGTATACATGCATTTTCATTTCCCATCAACTTAAGTTGTTTATCTTGTTTGCTTTATCGTCTATGTAGTTTCACTCTTGTTGATTTTTAATATAATCTTCCCTTACTCAGTGCCACGTTAGGGGGTATTCTAGATAGAGCTATTGAAGCTGAAAACAAAAAGCATGGGGACATCTTGCGGCTGGTAATACCTAATCTCTCATTCTTTTAGCAGGAATTTTCTATATTTCACTTCATTGTACAGTTAATTATGCTGATGTTATTGCCTTCATGAAAAATCTGATACATTTGGATTAATTTCATATGTTCAGGACCATGTTGAGGGTTACCTTGAATTGTCTGCAAAGACAAAGACATATTTTGCTACTGCTGTTGCATTATGGGATGCAGAGTACTATGTTAAAGTCGATGATGATGTCCATGTAAATATAGGTAACTAGAACCTTTCTCTATAATATTTTTACCTTCTTGGGGTAATAATAGTCAATATCAGATATTTGCTGGTTTCCTGTCTTTCATTAGAAATCCAGAATACATTAGGTATTGGTTAAATCTGATCTACTTTAATCATGTCACATCAATTTATTACGTAGCAGAAACTTTCTTTGAGGATTTGTTTTGTGTCTATTTAATTGAGATTTGATGACTAACAGGTCTGAATGGGGTTATCTCTTCTTAGATTTTCAGCTTCCCTATTATATAATATTATACATTTGGCATATCATATCTCGAAAATATTTTCAATTCTTGTTCTCATTTTTATTTTCTTTTGCAGCAACACTAGGAGAAACATTAGTAAGACACCGGAAAAAGCCTAGGGTCTATATTGGGTGCATGAAATCTGGTCCTGTCCTTGCTCAGAAGTACGCAAAACATCTCAAACTTTTTCACATAGCCTAAATGTTCGAAATCAGCTACAGCCACTTACATTTTTTGAATTACATGAAACAGGGGTGTAAGATATCATGAACCTGAATATTGGAAATTTGGGGAGAATGGAAACAAGTACTTCCGACATGCTACTGGACAGTTATATGCAATTTCAAAAGATTTAGCTTCCTTCATTTCATTAAACAGGTCATGTTTCCATTGTCGCCTGACATTAAGAGTACGTAACCATTATATTCTGTTAACTGTTTGTGTGATAGTGATTTTCGTAATTTGTTACAGGCATGTTCTGCACAAGTATGCTAATGAGGATGTCTCTCTTGGATCATGGTTCATTGGACTCGATGTGCAGCATATTGATGATCGGAGACTGTGTTGTGGAACCCCACCTGGTAACCATCTTTCGTGACTAATTCTATACATTCTTCATAATCCATTAAAATCTGAAATTGCAATAGTTGTTAAAAGTTGAGCCACTTATCTGTTTCCTTTAAGCATTTTAAATCATCTAAGAACTGTGAATCACAATACTACAAAATCTTTTAAGTAGCAAATTCAGTTTGGATAACTGAATCCTCTATCCTGATAGGCAAGTGAGTTTGATCCTGGCTTGAATTCTAACCGTTATTATAGGGCAGTGGAGTCGTTATTCTTGTTAATTCAGGTTCATGATAGCTTACACCCCTGTTGAAGACTATGCAGACAAGTAAAAAAACTACTCACTGAAGACAGTAATTTATGAATGTGTTTTTTGTAACAATAGATCCTACAAAATCAGCCTAAGGTGAAAGAATTATTTACCAAATGAGAGATTTCACATGTTTGTGATTAAAAATTGAAACTTATTTGTGTACAACTGCAAATGCTCTTACCTTAAATAGTCTCACATGGGAGAAAATTATCGTTCTATCTGAGAATGTCTCAAAATATTTGCTTAATGAAGCAAATTAAATGAAGTGAAAATGTTGTTTTCTGTGGGACAAAATCTAAACATAGAAGTCATCTCCTGAAATCGAGTGGCATAAAATAACATTAAAATCACAGATTTTGACCTCCATAAGGGCTGAGAATAGAAAGGAAGGCCAAACGAGGCCAGGAAAAAAGGGAAAACACTACATGTTCAACTGTTGGTTATTACCATAGACAAGAACAGCAAATGTTAGCTGCGTTGCTGTGTATCAATGTAATTGTTTTCTTTTTTGCTTATGTATCGCAGATTGTGAGTGGAAGGCACAAGCAGGCAACGCCTGCGTTGCTTCATTTGACTGGAGCTGCAGCGGTATATGCAGATCGGCTGATCGAATAAAGGAGGTACATCGACGGTGTGGGGAAGGTGAGGATGTCTTGTGGAAAGCTGCTTTCTGAGAAGCTACATGCATTTCTTCCCTACTCAGGTTTCATTCACGAGTACAAAAATATACGAAATATATAAGAGATAGAAAGAGAGCAAGTCTTGCTATGCAATGATGCTTCTCCGTTTTAGTAGAGAAGTGTGGCTGCAAATGCAGTCCCGGCTGCAAGCAAATGGCTCCATCAAATGATTTTTTGTTGTTAAGATGATTGAAAGTCAGCTAAGTGATTATGGTTTGTGAGAAATAAATTCAAATCACTTTTGTGAAATCCTCAGCTGCCATTTTATCCTGTTCAAGTCACTTAGTTGCTTATTGGATTATAATACCTCTTTCTATAGTAACACGCGAGAAAGCGCGCTTTGTAAATTGCTCGTCTAGCTATGTAGCCATAGTGCAAATGAGTGAAGAATTGACTTACTATGATTATTGCAACAAGTATCACAACTCACAAGAAAGCACATAACACACTACTAATTCTTCTTGCTTTTCATTTCCAACTGAACGTCGATGGACGTGATATTGCTTTAACTCGTGTCATTGTGCCATAAAACTTGTGTTAATGGCAGAAACTTAAAGGGCCTTTTTAAAAAATTGCAATGCCCCCTTACAAAGATATTTTTTAGTAATCACTCAAACTTTAAAACTTACTGGATAGTCATTATAGTTTCAAAGTTATTTTCTAACCACCATTGACCTGTACTTTTAAAATTGTTTCTCGATAGTCAGCGTACCTTAATATTGTTTTTCATTTGTCAGTAAAGATCATTTGACTATTGGCAAATGGGTTTGTCTACTTGTACAATGGGAGTGTCAAGTGCCAACCTCGGTGTACAAATAGAAAAACCCATCGGCAAACAAGTTCAAATTTCTCTTGAGAAATAACGTTAAAAATACTGTAATCGTTGAAATTTTTAACCCTATTCTGGTGGGGCCGTCTTTTGCCTATTCATATAGTACATGTTCAAGAGTATTCATTTGAGAAGAGGCAGAAGAAGGCAAATGGATGTGGTACTGAAGCAGCAGCATTGAACTCCCAACTGCTAAACTACAAAGGACTGTACGGGATTTAAGGAGGTGTAGGGAATTGATTTTAATTTTCTTTTACGGAGATTTGCATTAAATGGTTATGGTGGACAGATAAAGATGGGGGATAACTTTGAAAATGCCTGGAATATTCTTCCTATTTTTCACAATAGCCTTTCTTGTTAAAAGTACTATTTTGCCCTTAATGAAATTATTAACAAGATCTATCTTATATCTTTAAGGAATTGTCAATCAGGTCCTATATCTATATTTTTCAATCTTTTGAACACCTTTAAATATTCTTTATATTTTAATAATTCTTCAAAGATTATAGGTTGACCTTTCTTAGTTATATATCCATTAAATAATCCTACTGAAATTTCTTCTTGTATATCCGTATGTTTAGTTATAATATCTTCTACTTTCCTTATTTCTTTATGAGTTCTTACAGGATCAAAACCTATATTATTCTTACAACTATAATCTATATCTCTATATATTTCTTCAATTTTTTCTTTACCAATAGGGAATATAACATCAGATTTTACATCTAATTTAAGCAGAAAAGAAACATCTTCTTCATCTAAAAATAGAATGAGATTTTGATCATTATTATCAGTAGAAGTGGATGCTTGTGAATTGCTCATCAATGATAATTAAGGCATAAACATGTAAAGATAAGTAAATAACTTACAGTAATCAAGTGGAATAAACAGGTTTTCCCTCCAGTATGCTCTTATAGATGCTTTGCATGTACTTAATCAATCTTCTGAATCAAGTAAAGATTAAAAATGTTTTTGAAATCATTTGGGTCCACAACTGCTTCCGCAAAAAGGTTTTTCAATTAAGGTTGCATTTCTCATTCTAGAGAACTAGCCGTGTTTCCACAGACGCTATCTCACAGTATCCAGAGTCTCTGTTTTCACCTCTATCCAAACTCTTTTCAGAATCAAGTTCCTACTTGGAATGAAATTTTAAAAGATAACTCACACACAAAGTGCTACAAATTTTTGTTAGAAAACTGCCCTTTTCCCCTAAACCATTTATCAAAGACGGGTACTTTAGCATGGCTAACATCCATTCAAAATCAATGTTTTGAAAATCTTTTAAAATCTCTATTTGTACTGCCGAGGAATCATGAGAAGCTTAACGAAATCCTTTTATGGAAACTTTGTTGAACATAACAAACTTTACTTTGATATTCATAAACTGAAATTGTACATGCTTACAAACTATATTTACATACCTTTGGTACTCACCTTATGAAGTTTAGAACTCCATAAGTGATTACCTTATTACACGCTTTCCTATCTTCAAGCTATCTAATATTTTTCTGGATACAAGTAGTGTATACAGATTACAAGAAATTTTTCTCTAAAATGTTCTCAGAGAATAGAGATAGATTTTTCGAGATATCTTCCTTCTTCCTTCATGTCCCCTTTTATAGGAGAGTTTGGAATCTTATCTTGGACAGGTGTCTTCCCCTTTCTTTGTTAGGTAGCAAGGCATCTTATCTCCACCGAATTCTTCATTGTCTTCTTGCTATGTGGACCTTTCTTTTGAGAATTATGTGCCTTATCTTTTGAGTTTGTCTGCCACTTGTGTCAATTAGTGGGTAAGTGGTCACAATAATGGAGACTTTCTTATATTATTTCTTGTCTTTAGTAGCCACAGTTTTTCTTTAATAAATTTCTTTATTAAAGTAGTGATAAAGGGCTACTTCAATCACCATCATTTCTCCATTTTTGAATCAAAGAATTCTGCAGGGAATTCTTCATCGTTAAGAGATGCTTGGCTCATATCTTCAACAACACAATATTCACAGTGGTGATCACTGTAATTCCAAAGTATCTTGCATAATTCCTTAGCCATATCTTCCGATCCATGCACTTGGTTGGATATAATTGCAGATAATAAATGGTCAAGATAACAGATATCTTCTTCTTTGGTATCCATTCTTGCATTAGAATAGATAATATGATCTTCAGATGGATAAACCCATATTTTTTCTTTCTCAGTGATTATCTGAGTTACATGTTCAAATATCTCTTTATACCCTTTGGCTCTTCTATAGGGCATCATATTAAGAATATCTTGATATCCATTTTTAACAACATTTTGATTGGCTGGTAAAAAATGTTGATTTGTTAATCCCATTTTGATCACATGGAACGATGGATGCATATATTCAAGGACAGGATCCCACTCCATTGTTGCTGAATGGAATCTGATATATATATTTGTTGTTTTAACAACTTCAGTATATCTTTTGACAGCTTTCCTGATGTTGACTGGAAGCTGAGCTATTTCTTTAAGGTCTTTACTCGGATATATACAAAGTATATTTCCAATTTCAAAACAATTTCGGACCCAATTGGCTGGTGCTCCTGGATAGAAATTTATCTTGTTATATTTTGAGTAGTGGAGAGTCTTCATCCACTTTCCAATCTCCAAATACCAATCTGATAGAATGTTAAAAATAACAATAAACAATGTTACTTCTTCATAACTATCTTTTCTCGGCATTTTTGCTTCATGGCATATTTTGACAATATCTTTAGGATCTATCCTTTCAATAGAAAGTTTAGATTGAGTTTGGCTCTGTGAAGAGCTACCTTCTCTTTTGATATCTTGTATATCTTTATTACCAGTAATAGGTTTAAATATTCCCTGTAAAGGGGTTCCTATTACCTTCTTTTCTTTCCCTTTATCCTCGGGGAGAGCGCTAGTATTCATAAGTCCCTGCGAAGAGATACTAGTCTTGGTACAAGTAACTTCTGCCTCATGGGCTAAATTCTTGCCTTGAAGGCTATCTTGGATATTTTGAATTTGAGTTTCCAAATAGGAAACTTTTATCTCAAGTATCTGGACTTTCGTCCTTAGTTGTTCTAGCTCCATCCCTGCTAAGATAATCAGGAAGAAAGTTAGTTTTACCTTTTATGTATTCAATATCAAATTTGAAATATGAAAACCAAATTTGGATCCTAATAATATATCTATTATTAATAGATGGATCAACATTATTTTTTAAAAATGCTTTAACTTGAGTATTATCAGTTCTAATTAAGAATTTCTTTGGCAATAAATAATCTTCATATTTCTGAACTCCTCTTTTTACAGCAATGAGTTCCTTTCTGTTTGTCTCATATCTAGTTTCAACTTCTTTGAATGTTCCTGATGTATAACCTGCAAGTATTTCAGGACAAGAACAATCTTTTTCACATTTATATTCTTTATGATTCTTTTTAACTTTTAATACTGCTCCCCAGTAGTAATCTGAAGCATCAGTTTCTAGGATAAAAAAATCTTTTTCTTGTGGTATTACAAGTTTGGGTAGTACCTTTAACTCTTCTTTGACTTTCCTTATATTTTCACAATCTTTTTCTTCCCAAGACCACATTATATTTTTTCTTAATTTTGGAAGAAAATAATTTTTCAATTTAGCACAATTTTCAATGAATCCTTCAGCATAATTCAATATACCAAGGAAGCTTTGTAATTGCTTTTTATCTTTGATTTCTTCAGGAAATTCTTGAAGATTTTCTCCAATATGAGATTGCAATTGCAATTCTCCTTTTTTTATAGATAATCCTAAAATTTTTATCTCTGATCTAGCTATTTCAGCTTTCTTTTGAGAAAGTGTAATACCATGTTTTTTCATAATATAACAAAATTTCTCAAGATGCTCAATATGTTCATCAATATTATTTGAATGAATAAGTAAATCATCTACATATGCAATACAAAAATGAGTAATTGGTTTGATTACCTCATCCATTCTTCTCTGAAATATCTGTGGTGCATTTTTCAACCCAAATGGCATTACATTCCATTCATATTGTCCTAAAGGATTGGGAGTACTAAATGCAGTTAGTGGTTTACTTTCTTCTGTAAGCATGATTTGCCAAAATCCTGACTTACAATCAAATTTTGAAAATATCTTTTTATTCTGTACTTGTTTAATAAGGGTATCCTTATTTGGCAAGTAGTATCCATCAAACTTGGTAATTTCATTTAATTTTTTGTAGTTTATTACCATTCTAGCTTTTCCTCTTTTTATCTCACTATGTTTTCTAACCATAAAGGCTGGGCTGCTATGTGGGCTTTTACTAGGCCTAATTAATTTAGCTTCTAGCAATTCTTTTATCTGATTTCTAAATTCTTTTTGATCATCAACACTATATTTCATAGGTTTAACTCTAACAATAGTATCTAGATTGGTTAATTCTATTTTTGCCTTTACTTTATCAATATTCCATTTTTCTAATGGATTTTCAGAATATGTTTCAGAAATTTCATTTTTCAATTTTTCAATCCTATTCTCTGTTGTCATTTTTAAAACTGTAACTGGTTTAAATTTTTCTGTACTCCAACATCCACCACGCTGGGTTGAAGAACTCTGATGTTTTATATCTCTATATGCTATTGTAACAGCTTTATTTATTTTTGGTGTAAATATTTTATGTGCACAAGGTGTTGTGAACATATACTTATCAATATATTGTGTAAATGGCGCATATTTTAATAGGAAATTTTGTCCTAATAAAATATCACATCCAATTGTGGTTGACATATATATTGTATCAACAAATACTTCTCTAAAGGAGATTAGAAAAGGTACTTGATTAGCATACTTGCTATATATTACCTTATTTCCACCTGCTGTTGTAGCAGTTACAACTTTCTTTGAATTATATTTCCAATATTCAGATGGTAGTACATTTGGTAAGCATAGGCTTATAGTACTTCCTGTATCTAGGTAAGCATGAAATTTAATTCTACAATAATCTTTTATATTGAGGGTAATTTCAATATATGGGCTCATGGGATTAGTACTTATTACTCTCTCCATGATAACAATGATTTCATATTTTCATCTATTCTTGGAATGATAATTGGATTATCATCAACTGTTATTTTCAAGTATCCTTGACAGATTTTGTAAGGACTATATTTTTCTAGAAAGTTCATTCCTAATAGAATAGGTGAACGATTCACTCCATATAATTCATCTTTATATAGTATTATTTCATTAATATATTCTTTCTGATCCTCTCCTACAAGTATAAGAGGGAATTTAACATATTTTCTTATTTCAAGATTATTTCCCAAATAATCTTTAAATATGTATGGTTCTGATATCTCGAATTCTGTTAGATGACTAACAAATTTAGTATTTACGTGACTCTTATCTGCTCCAGTATCTATGAGGACAAGAAGATTCTTCTTATATCCTTCTTGGTTCACATATCTTGTCTTGATATAGTATTGCGAACTTGATGGTTCATCAATGCTTAGTTTCTTAAGTCTGCTTATCTTAGATTCTTGTCTAGAGGGAAATCTTGCTATAAGATTATCTCCTTCTAAGCTCACACTATTTCTTCTTATTAATTTTCCTTCAGAATTAATTTCTCTGGCTTGTTTATGGAAATCAAGCATTATTTGCTCTGGTATAGTGACTTCATGTTCTTGGTATTTCCTAGGAGGTATATATTGTGCTAATTCTTCAAAATCTTTATGTATGATAATATTATCAGTTATTTTTCTTAAATTATTATGATGGCTAGTACTAAAAGCAAAAATTGATTTTATGCTTATACTAACAGCCTTACTTCTTCGTAACATTTTCAAGTTACCAATTCTATAATATAGATTGAAACTTTGGTCAATATTTTCATCACTTAATGATATTGCATAATTTGGTTTTACTGTAAATATTATCTTTTGATACACTAAGTTTCCTACAACTGTTCCTAATAAAGCATCAATAGGATCTTGTAAGATTCTATTATCCATACAATATATTTCTATTGGTATATTCATTCCTTCTCTAAAGAATCCTTTTACCATTATTTGGACTCCTCCTAACTCAATACATTTTAATTTGTTTCTTACATTTTCTGGGATTTTGGATAGTTTTTGTTTTACCCATTCTTTTGTAATTATAGGTATTCTTGCTTTTCCTATGGTATCTTCTATATTAATAGACATTTCTTTATAATTCATACTTACAATTGTTTTATTTACCCTTGGTAAGATTCCTAAGAATCCTTGATGGAATACTATCTTCTTGGAATTTTTCGTAAATTCTAAGAGTTTTTATATTTTGTCTATCTTTCTTTTTAGGACATTGAGGGGCAATGTGTCCTTCTTCATTACAAATAAAACATCTACATTTTTTAATGTTTCTTGGTTTAAATTTCTTATTCCAATTTCTTTTCTTGAAATATTTTTTATGTGGTTTAAAATTTCTTTTATTGAATTTTTTATAGTTTTTGAATCTCCTTTTATATTTCTTATATGGTTTAAACTTCTTTTTATAGCATCCAAATTGTTCTACCTGGCCATTATCTTTGTAACAACATAATGAATTTTTTCTTATTTTATAAGCTTTCTTATTTTCTAATGCTTCTCTACACCACATACTTATCATTCTTTTTGTAAATTCAATTCTACTTCCAAGACTATCTATTTCAATTCCTTTCTCTTTTCCTAGAGGCAATAATTTCTCATATTCTTTTAGTAACTTAATTCCCCATGGGAATGGTAACTTTGTAAAGTAAGATCTTAAAATAGGTTTATTTTCTTGATAGTCTCCTTGATTTAATATATAGTATAATTCTTCAAATTTACATGTATATCTTTCTAACTCACACATATCACATATCTTTAGATTTTCCATTGCAATCATTCCTTGGTTATATTCTTCTTGTGTTCTTTCTTCTTCATTAGAGGTATGTCTATTTCCTAGAAATTCTATCCTTAAGATTTTTTCAAATCTTTTTAATATTTCTTGTATATTTTGTTCATTTAAGAAATTTCTATTATCTAGTACTTCAGTTCTATTTGCTCCATATTTTACTCCTCCTTTGATGGTTTCTGGTAACTTTCTCCACCATTCAGAGACAGTTCCTCTAAATGTGTGTTCTATAAATCCATAAGCCGTATATGTTTCCCATTTATTAAATTGTATAACTAAATCTGTACTTTTTATCCATGTTTCAATGGCTTTATTTTTATCTACACAATCTAAGTCTAACCATATTCCTGTTGTGTGGATTGGTTCATTGTAAGATTTCATTGGATTTATTTCTTTTATGGATTGTTTTCTAACGTTTCCAGTATATCTTTTCTGTGTTTTTCTATATTGATTAACATCAGCCTTATCAGGTATAGGGGTACCATAAGGGAAATCTTGTTCTTCATCACTACTAAATTCTACTTTTATATCATGACTTGAAGATGGATTAGTATTCATTTTTATATTCTCCATTTTTTTAGTTAATTCTTCTAACTGCTTTTTATATTCTTCATACTCTTCTCCTGTAGATTCTAAGAATCTTTGTTCTATTTCTTCTACATCTGTTATCATATATTGTTTTTCTTCATGCTTTTTTCCTTTATTTTTTGTTATTCTAAAATCTTGGGGTGGATTAATTATAATCCTATCTTTTCCTCTAAGATTATTATCCAATAATGCATTTCCTACTTGTAGATTATATTCTAGATTTTCTAGTCTTTTATGGATATCCTCAAAACTTTCATTTGTAGTGTTTTTAGGTAAATAGGGATAACTAGGTTTTTTATGTTTTTTAACCTTTTCCAAAAATTCTTCAATTATATTTTCTTCATCTACTATATTCATCATTATTTTTGGTTCGTAACATGGCTCTGATACCATTTGCTCGGAGTGTGCAGCGGAGGGGTTAATATTTTTGAGCCAATTAACTTCTTCATAAGTATTTAAAATATCACAATAAAATTTGTAAAATTCACTATTTTTTATCAATATTTTTTCTTGAATAATTATATTTAATTCTTTAATTCTCCTTCTTAAATTAAGAATTAATTTATATATATCTTTTTCCATTTTGATTGCTTTATCATCTATGGAATCATTTTTATTTTTTAATTTTGGGTCTAAATATTCTATAAAGAAATCTTTTAGATCTTCTTCCAAATAGCTTAATTCATTTTCTGTAGCGTTTTTTAGGACAATAAAATTTTGTATAATATTTGGATCTAATTTTATTAAAGAATTTTGATCTATATTTCTCTTAGGACTTATTTGAATGTTTTTAGACATTGTAGTGTCTTTGGTTGCAATTTCTCTATTAAGGGTATTTTTGGAAAATTGGTTGTTTGGAGACTAGTTTTCAAATGTTTTTATTTCTTAGGCTAATTTGGAAAATCAACCTTCTATTTAAGCTATAGAGCTATATTTCCCTAAAGATGGTCCTCTTCACTGTTGGCAATTGTTGGTGCTTCTTTTATCTTAAAAGTGAATTTAGCTCTCTATCTATATTCTATAATGGTAGCATTTAATAAATTGTAAATTCAATGTTGCATTATTTAAACCATTCAAGTTATACTTGAAAGTTTTTTTAGCTATTAGCATTTAAAAAAATATATTAACTAAATAATTAGAAAAAATATATAATCGTTGGAAAGGTTAAATAAATAGTAAAAAAAATAAAAAGTTCGTTTGAGGGTATAAAAAAAAAAAAAAAAATTATTCTTTCAAGTTTTACTATTGCTCTTTAAAAATAAAGAATCTCCAATTTTCCTTTTCCGTGTTCTAAAGATTTTGAATCCAAATAACCTTACAAGTTAATCGGGAGAAACACGAGGATGCCAACCTTCTCATCTTGTCAACTGAGTCGATGAAAAACTATATAAGATTTAGATCGAATCATATGTTCCATGATCAAAGTACAATAATCAAGTGATAACAAGTTTTGATATAAATTTCACTTGAAAAGGACCTCTAGATCATCAAGTGATTACAAGTTCGATGATCTATTTCAGAAAACTTTTAAAAAGGCATAGAAAGCTTCTTAAGAAGTAAATGTACCGTCATAAACAGACAGATAACATAAGTTCCTCGATAAAGTCGAAAAGCATGTTTTCACATCCATAACCACAAATAGAACGAGTGATACAAAACCTTATATTACTCAGATAGGACACAACACAGATAGGCCCATGTCTTCAGACGAGATAATAAGTTATTTCACACAAGGTATCACCATAAAAACAGAGGTGCTGAGAAATAACACGATTAGACGGAGAGTTCAGGGGGACAAAAAGCGATTCATCCAATTACGGAAGTGGGTCCATGCTAACTCGACTGCTACATCATCTTCATCAGTCAGTCCCATATTTTTTCTTCTCTGCACCCCTTCGGGGGACTTGTTCATAAAGGCATGTGAAGCTCCTGGATAAATATGTACTTCATGTGGAACTCCTGATGCCTTCAGCTTTTCCTCCAACGCTTTCCCTGTCTGGGAACAAAAATTCATAGCAATCAGTATCTTGAACCCAGTAGCAATCCAGTGAATCTTGAACACATTAGAAACTGCATCCGCTCGACATGCTAAAATCACATCCGTTAGCATACTCGGGCAGTAGAAATACACAATACGTCCCAAAGAAGATGTGCCAGCTTTCTCTTATCACCATTTCTAAGCTAATGCATGCTCCAGCACATAGTATGTGACAACATTCGATAGCATGCTTCCAGATGCAAATATACAGAAGTAATTAAGACAAAATGTGCATCTACCCACCATTTCTTATAACATCCATGACTAGCACATGCTGCACATGATGAGCTTTGTTTGCCACAACTTATGCTTTCGAGTGCATAAGTGTCTACTTTCCTCAGTATCCACCAAGTAATAAAATCCAAAAGACTATGTTTAGTGTGTCTCATTCCCATGCATATTTTATAGATAATATGCGACCAAAATGCTGGCCTCTATATCAAACTTTTTTTCGATTTGAGAGACGGAATATACCGATTATGTTGGTGATCCCAAAGTTCTTTGTATAGTTTGAGACACACGTATTTTTGTGAATCTGCAGAAACATGCACATACATTTTCAATTATTTGTGCTAGTTCTCTAGCTCGCAAGATGGCAAATAACAATGTTCACACTCAATTTTGAGGGTTCTTAATTGGTTCCACAAGGGCAATCAGGTTCTTGCAAATAGTATAAGTATACCATTTTCAATAGTTCTACAGATTCTGTATTAGTGAAATACTAATATGTTTGGACATTGAAAAACAACTATCCAAAAACAATGAAAAAACATGCATAAAAAATGGAGGTTAAGTCAAAGGATACAAGTATCACAGGAATCTCCAGATCATACCTTCACATCAGAAAATCCAACAATATTGTCAAGCTCACCAAAATGTGCTTGTACAGGTGCCTTAGCATGGAGAGGATCTGCAAGCTCTGGCGAAGGCACACCATAAAAGGCTACCACAGCATCAACCCCAGGAACCAACACAGAACTTGCAATAGCAAGAGCACCCCCCATGCAGTAACCAGTTACACCAACCTATTGCCCAAAAAAGTGGAGCAAGTAGAGAAGTTCCATTAGTAAATGCAAAAAGAAAAAAATTATCAAACCAATTTCAATCGAGTAATAAGGCCAAAATAAATCATTAAACCAGTTTAAGGAATGCCAGATGAAGTTGCTTTAATTCATTAATGCTTTATTATGCATGTTAAATTTACAAAATCACAGTAGAATTAAAATGAGAGACAAACTAATTATGTCTCAAGAGTCAAAACTATGGAAATTTTTGAAAGAAAGTAAACATTTAATTTGTAGAAGTGTTGGACGTGGTTTACAAATTATGGTACAGGATTCAAGAGGTGTATAGTGAAGCTTAGAGTTTTAAATTCCCAGGAACTATAGGATTTGATACCTAAAATCTGAGATGAATATGTCAAACGGCAGAACTAAGAAGCATGTGATAAATCAAGGAATTAAAACACTTAACAAATTTTTCACGAGCAATGGCTTTGTGAGAGGCAAAGTTGAAACTTGACTACACTTCTCTCATTAAGCCCTTGTTTGATCCCCACTATTTGCAAAATAAATTTTTCTCTCTCTTCCCACACATTCTTCAATAAAATAATATTATACACACAAATTCAAAACTTTTCCTTATTTTTTAACCAAACATTCTCCATCTATCTACCATTTCAAAATGCATTCTTAGCTTTTGAATGAGGCTCAAACAGGCTCTAAATATTCATAATAGAGACATTATTTAAGTGCAAATTTATGGTGATTTTTGAAGCCGTTAATGAAACATGTACAGGGATTTTTCTAACTCAGAGAAGAGTAGAACAGATATAATTACGATGAGAGAGCTTAATTTCTTCACTATACTACAAATCAAGCAAATGGTAGTGGCATTTCCATCAATTAGTCAACACACAAAAACATCCATAGATTTAAAATGAAGCATGGAAGAAGAACAAGTACACCAATGAATTATATCACCAAGTTTGACTAAGAAATTGTAAAACCATAGAAGTAATAGGGTATAAAGACATGATATGAAATCTACTTCACGAATAAAAAGATATACCATTCTATGAAGAATACCTATACGCTAGATTTCAGAGTTATACTAAGAAATCTCAATTATCTGATGTGATGATAATCTTCAGATGCTTATACTGTTGTATTATGGTATTTTTAATATATGAAATAGGGGATTTCACTAAGTTGATTCCAAACTCTACTTATCTAGATTTATTCGGCTGTAGTGGTACAGATATTGCAAGTTCAATGGACGAAAGAAAAAGTACTTCAAGAACTTGTCAATTTCTAGAACACTGCTTTATATGTTGACACTATAGTGCTTTGTGAGTATACAGCTACTACATTGTGTCACTCCCACAAGATAATCTACTAAAATCATCTTTTTAGAACAAACACTTTCTCCTGCTTCATCAAAGCGGCTAAGTACCAAAAACTGGCAAACTTGCTTAATTAAAAGAATACAGAACAATGTGTTAATCAAAATTTCCAAAAACTAGAATTCGACAAAAAGTATCTAATCCTTTGGTCTTAACCTTCCACTTTGTCAACTTGATCAAATATATAAACAGGACTAGTACCGAATTTCTAGAATAAGTATGTCAAAATCAAAACAAGTTTCCAAATTCTTTTTTTTTTTTATTTTAGAAATGAAATTATTCTAAACTTTAAAGTATATATGAATAATTCTTTGAGCACATAAAGGCAAGTCAGGCATGAACACAGAGGGAGTGGTTTCTTAGTTCAACCCTCCAAGGACTCACTTTTTTAATTTCCCGTCAGTTTGTTCTGTCATAAGAGGAACTAGCCAATTTTGGATAAAAGGAATTACACACCTTCTTTGAACCATTTGCCTTAAGCCAGTTAACTGAGGCTTGAATATCCTTCACCGCGCCTTGCCAATCAAGACCATCCATCAAATGTTGTGCTTCAGCAACATCCAAACCAACCTTTCCTCGGTACAAACTATAATTTACGAAAAAATGCCAGAAAAGATAAAAGCATCAATTCTCATATGCCAACAAATTATGACAACACATATCTGTCACGCTCTACTGGGAGAGCAAGACCTAAAAAGCAAGCCAATGAGGTAGGAGCCCAAGCCAATATAAACCACACAAAGGAAGCTTACACGTCCGATGTGGGATTCAGGTGCTCATACACCCCAATGAAAACCATGACAATGTCAATATTTGCAAAAATGTCGAGTCAAATTTGCTTGATCATTCATATGCAGTATCTTACTCTGGGATCAGCGCTTTATAGCCAGGTTCAAACTGAGATATTTTCTGTGCGTGGTTCTTGATCTCAAAATCAACCCCCCACCATTCCTGAAGCACTACAAGTCCAGGAGCATCTTCTTTCCCAATCACATAGGCATCAAATGTCTGCTCAATATTCCCCCCAGACAAAAAGAGAAAGATAATTTAGAAAAGAAACAAAAGCTAAATCACAATTTAAAACGCATGATTAGTATTAATTTGATTACAATTCAAATTTCCAGTAAAAAAGCAAGCATTTCCTTTTTCTATTCATCAAAATCTACAACTTTCTAGTACTTTAACCACACCAAAATATCATCTCTATCCACCCGACGAAACAGGAAAAAAGGAGAAAACATGGATGAAGCGATTAAATACATACGCATAGAGACAGACGAGCAAATGAGATTTTTTAGTCTTACCGTGTCGTCTCTCTGAATCTTGATTTTTTTGAAAGTTGAGGAGGAGGCAGAATCCGAAGCCATTGCACGAACCTGATGAAGATGAATAGAGAGATTCCAAGATAGGGAGAAAGCTGGGTATGTGAGTAAATTGGGTTTGGTGTGGATGAAGGGGGTTTTGTGAAGAGTCAGTTGGATATCATTTTGTCCTTCAGTCGACACTTCAATATAACTGGGCTTGATGAGTGATGAGTCCCACCTTTTTATTTTATTTTATCGTGACAAATGGCCCTACTGTATCTTTTGTTTTGTTTTTTTTTCTATATATATATATAATTTAAAATAACTAGTCAAAATTGAACGTACAATTTATTCTAAAATATTTTATAGATGCTGTAAAAGTAACATTTGATATCGATTTGTTTGAAGGATTTGATAGGTTTCAAACGAACTAAAAAAAATAAAATTTAGAATAAAAATTTAAAAAAAATTGTACTCTAAAAAAACTCAACTTCTATGATTCTTTTTTTTTTAATGATAAAATACCACAAATGAACAATATTTTTATATTGCGAGAGTGTTTGAGCCCCATTTTTATGAAAAAATGAATTTTAGAATAGTAGATTGATAAAAATGTGGTTGAAAAATAATAAATTTTTTTATTTACGTGTAGTATTATTTTAATGAAAAATGTATTATTGAAAAGAAGAGAGAGAGAAATGGAAATCAAACAAAGCCTACATTTGGTACATAAGAATTTATTGCTAATACATGAATTTAAACACCCATTAAAATTTCTAAATATATGAATAGAAATAAATTAATCTATAATAACTCTAGATTGTAGATCAAGATTCGTTGAAGTCAACATTCATTGAGTCTAAATTAATGTGAGTATTAATTATTTAAGAATTAACAACACGAAATTTGTACGTGACAAGGATTTGAAGTATCTATTACATATTAAAAAAGAAACGTAAAGTATAATTTAAATAATTAAATTGTTGCGGGGTTAAAATATTCCAAAAAATAATTATCATTTGATGTGATGTTTAATATACTATAGATGTATTTTACAACTTTCTTCCTTTTTGTGTACTATTTTTTTTATGGGAATTATCAAAAATGTCACTTATTTTGAAAATACACCAAAAATTTGCATGGTCACCAAATTTTATAAAAAATGTCACTTTTTCAATTAGAAATGTCCAACTTACCCTTTATTTCCCTTTTTAGGAGCATTTAATGCTACATTTTCAATCCAATTAATGCTATGATTTGATTAGTTAAATTTATGTATTATAATCATGGATATTTAAATTTATATAGTATAATCTATGGATATATGTACATTGTATGTGTAAATATGAATTTACAAGAAAACAAGAAAAGATAAAAGAAGTAGAAAATCTCATTTTAACATCAACCAAATCTCTTCTCCAACAAACCCTCACTTCATCATTCTTCTTCATTTCTTGATCAAGAAGATACAAGTATTGAATTCATCAACCATTTTAAGAGGTTAGTTTTTATGAATGGTTTATATTTTTATTGAATAGCTTTGTCTTTTTTAAATGTTAAAAACAACATGATATGGAAATGAAGAATGGTTTAAAAATTATTATTAATCATGATACTCTTAATGAAGCATTCAGTCATTTATTTTTAGATAGATGCTGTGATAATGTAGTTGTTGTAGTTGAGAATTCATTATAACCATTAATGTTTTCAACAAGGTAGCAAACACGCCCGAAACTTGTCGATAGTTTCGACAGTTGAACTGTCGAACCCGACATTTAATAACTGTTGGGTTAGATATTTTAACTGTCGAAATCGACAGTTGAAAACTGTTGACGCCCTTCATTTCACCTTATGTTTTTGCATCAATTTAAATATTGGAAAATGTCACTTCCATGCTAATACATATCGACACATTCATTAGATCTATATTCTCATCGTTCTAATCCCAATATTTCAGGTATGGACAATCATTTCAGATTCATCGTGTCATATGAAGGAAAGTTCATTCACGTGGATGATGAATGGAAGCGGACAGGGGATAAAACCACTTCCATTTTAGTGCCGAGAAGTATTACCGCAGCCAGTCTTCTGTTATTGTTGAATGACAAACTTGGTGTTATTAATCCGCGCACAAAAATTGAATTAAAGTTCAGAGTACCGAACTTCAATTTATCACCGACCAAAATACGTGAAGATGAAGACCTAATTTGGTACAAATCTGTTCATACAGAAACTGCCCTCTGCATTATTATTTTGAAAACTGATTTGCCGAGTGTTGACATGGAGAGGATACAAATTTGCATGACCCATCGTTCGGAGCAGCGGATGTTCCCCATGCTAACGATGACGTCCGTCATGAGCCTAGAGCCCCAAACAATAATGTAGCCGATAGTCCAATTGAATACGTTGGGGTTGCACCATTAGATGAGTGTTAAACGAGCTGTTACATGGTACAAATGGTGCTAATATTGCCGACGTTGACGAGAGAATGTCATCACATTCCCAGAGTTTGGATACATACCAATGGATTACAAGTGTAAGTACATCCGATCTTGTTGAATGACAGATATTCTTCAGTAAGAAAGAGCTGTACTCCAAAATTCGTGGGCTTGCTTTGCAGGACAAGTTTCTTTTTAAGGTCAGCAGGTCAAGCCTCAAAATGTTAACTGTGGTATGTACAGACGATAATTGCAAGTGGATGTTATGGGCTTCGAGTGTGAAGCAGTCTGCAATATTCATGATCCATAAATTCAACAATGTTCACATATGTTCTAGAGATTTTTGTCGTAATGCACATCGACATGCCACTACTTCTGTAATTGCCGAGCATATTTTGAGAAAATTGGATAATTCATACCGATCGTACGATCCTACCGCTATTGCACGTGACATGGAAAGCGAATTTGGTGTGAAAATAAGTTACCAAAAAGCACATAGGGGTAAGGTGGCTGCTTTACATATGCTACACGGTACACTGGGGGATAATTTTCAAAAACTATCGTCATACTGTCACGTCCTAGGAGAGAGTAACCCGGGGACAGTAACCCACATTAAAGTTGATTCCCGTAACAGGTTCCATTACTTTTTCCTGGCTTTCGGTGCAAGCATTCGTGGTTACATACACTACTTAAGACCCGTTATTTGTGTTGACGGTAGTCACTTGAAATGTCCATACAAGGGTACACTTTTGCTGGCAACAGGCCAAGATGCCAACAAACAGATTTATCCCCTAGCATGGGGGATTGTCGATGCTGAAACAAATAGATCGTGGATGTGGTTTATGTTGAACATGAAAGAACTTATAGGAGACTCGGCTGAATTGGTTTCTGTTTCCGATAGGAAAAATAGTATTTTTAATATCATTGCTCACGTATTTCCTCTGTCTCAGCATGGGTACTGTATTTAGCATTTGGAGAAGAACTTAATCCAGCGGTACAACAACGCAAGTGCAATATTTCTATTCAAAAGAGTTGCAAGAACTTCTCGGGTTGAAGAGTTTGAAAGACTTATGGGACAGATCCGTAGGGTAAGTGAACAAGCGTATGCGTACTTGGAGCGAGCTGGTTTTTCATTTTGGTCACGAGCACTATTCTTTGGGCAATGTTACAACATATTGACAAACAACAACGCAGAATCTTTGAACTCAATGTTGAGACATGCACGTTCATTGCCGATCACATGCTTGGTCGAACACATTCGGCAAACTATGCAGAAGTGGTTCTACGAACGTCGAACTAATGCAACCGCATGTAGTGCCGTGTTGTCATCGAGGACGGAAAGCGAGTTACGGACAACGTTCGAAGCAGGTGCAAGGCTTCGAGCTCAAGGCCTGACAGAGAACTTAACATAAGTTGGACTATCCAATGACACGGACATCGTGGACTTCTCCGATAACACGTGCACTTGTCGTGAGTTTTAGCTTAATCATATGCCATGCATTCATGCAAGTCGCGCTGTCTGCTTGCGAGGTAAGTCATTGTATGAGTTATGCTCACCGTATTACACATCGGATTATTAGAGGGGTGCCCACAGCGAAGCAATCTATCCTCTTACGCGTGAAGTGGACTGGATTGTCCCGAACGAAATCTCAGGTACTCCTATTCTGCCATCGAGTGTATGTCGTCCTCCAGGTAGACCACCCACACGACATCATCGATCCAGACATGAGTCCACCACACGATTGAGGAAATGCACTCGCTATGATAGAGTCGGTCATAATCAGATCACATGTTCAAACCCTATTGTACCACGGCCCATTCAAATAGGCTATTCTCTGTGACTGGCCGAATTTATATGTTTACTTTTTACCCATGTCGTTTGTACCTAATCAATGCATTTATTATAATTCTGTTATCAATTGTACCCATGTGTCACATCATAATTCCATGTTTCTGATGTATCTACCATTCTCTGTACATCTACGAACTGACATTGGCTAAGTTTTGATAATTGAGAAGTTTTTCATAGTTACGGTTAAACCGTCGGTCTGGACAGATGTCTCATTCATTCTCGACAGTTGATGAAAATATCAGGTTCACGTACATGGTAAACTGTACATTTCATTCCTACAATCAAATAGAATCACAAATCTTACAGGACACAACATATTTAAAAGTGTACAACTCACCCTCCAACTCCACGATCGTGCTACATAGTTGATGGTAGTAAAAAACACCTAAGGTGTGCGCATAATAAATTACTGTCCACTTAATAATGATTTTTTCAGTCCCGACCAAGTGAATTATAAATTGCAACATTTTAAGTAGTTCACTGGATTGACGGCATGATGCGCCCCATTTTTTAACATCCACTCAATGTATGGTATGAGCACACCCATTATCACCTTACATTATTCTAAATACGCACACGCAAAACCGTATGAGACAATATATCTTTCAAACCATAGAATTTGCCCTCCCACTCTACAAACCTTCCAATTTTTTATCCACTTGAAAAGAATTTTTTCAATCCCCACAAAACAGATTATAATTCGCAACATCGTCAATACTCCACACAATTGAGCACAATTGAGCGCACGATAAACACAATTTCATAACATCAGGTCCACTTACTACAAAATATGGGTCCATTTACAAAATATTGCTGCAGAAGCCTGACACTTCATTTGTCGTGCCCAATAGATTGTCTCTGTTATTCTCGATAGTTGGACCCCAAAATACACCATCTGTAGCATCCTACGGGAATGGTAATGCAGACCTTTACAATTGCGTTCACCGAATATAAAAAGTACAAAATACAGGACCACGATCACTTATTCACTATGAAAGATGGGTGTCACTTCATTCGTCCTCCACAACTCCCCCGCTGTCTTCGCTCGACTCGTCGGACGAGATGATAATTACCTCATTATGTGGGACGTATGCTAGCCCATCTTCGTCGTCGTCACTTCTTCCCTCGTATCCAGCGTCGACCTCAAAACCCTCATTGAACACTGAGTTGGGTAATTGCACACTCTCTGCCGCTACATCTTCCAAGTTGGGAAATGGAATGGGGGAAATGGCTCTTCTACCAATACGGGGGTTATCTTCCTCATCGTCTGACGAAATGTAGATTGGAAATAACGGAGATGAACTGGGAACTGGTACTGGCTCATTGACATTGAACAGTTCGGTGCTTCCTGTGGACGAACTCATTATATCGATGTTGTAAAGTATTGATGAAACGAATAGTGTGTGAGGACTTTTAATTCTAAGAATAGTATTCAACTAGGTTGTTTCTAAGATAAAATGAACTCACATCCTGTATTTATAAGCAACAAGAATGGGAAGCAATTATGTTCATCATCTTCCCAACCACCATGTCCAATCTCCTTGTCAATGTGAAAACCAATTGGTGTGATTGTTCAATAAATTAAGTGTACATTTATCCCCATTTTCCCATAATTACCAGGACCTTAAAGGCTCATAAATCTTGTGTACTATTGAGCAATGGGGATATCCTGCAACTAAAATATTGTCAAACTAATTTCTAGCTACTTGTACCATGTTCAAAAGGGTACAGGGTCTCACCCATGTGGCTCATGATGTCAACGTACATGTTCGATGATGCATGAAACATAATGAAATGAATATACAGTCATTTTGTAGCTCGAAGCTTGTGGTTGTCATGGTTTCGACATTTTCAATGGCTCATCTTCTGAAATTTAACGACTATTATTTATGCACTCGCACGTGATAATCAAAACAATAAATTACGACTATAGCGGATATATGTCGTCCTAACGCGAGCCAAGGGGCTTCATTGCAACACAAATACTTCTCCCTTTAAACATTTCAAATATAGGTAACTACACATCCAGTTCGAACAAATTTAGGACATCGACTGTTTGAACTAGACGAAAATTTTACACCCCAAAAAAATATAAAATTCTACGCTGTCACTGTGCGCTGCATCTCATGTACATGCACCAAATATGACATTCGACTAATGGGCTTTCGTCTGAACAAGCTCCCATCTCTGCAACCTACGTTCAAATAAATGCCTTAAATTACAATTATGCCAAAGGTTATACGGTTGAGCGATTGCAATAATGTGTCATGAATTAAGAACATGAAGAATCGTATAACTCAATTGCATGTGATCCCAAGCGTTTGGAAAATTTCCATTGCAAACATTTTCATGCATTAGAAATACGAATAATCATATCTTCGAATTGCAAGTGATCCTAAACTTACACTGAATTTGTAACGCTGCTGTCTCTCATAATTTGTACAGATTACGAGCAGATAAATATTTCTATGAATAAAATATCTCT